GGTAGAATGATAGATTAAATGCACTAGGTTCTATTTAGACATCATTTCTGATAAGGAAAAGTCTACTTCATGTTAGAACTTCTAGCTAGAAGAAATTGATATAAAATTGTGGCATGAGTGAAATAACTTCTCAGGATTTAAATCCCCATAAAACCAAGATTTTTCTTTAACAATAAGCCATTTTCATCCATGCATTTTTCCCAGCGAGCTAACAAAGCGGTTTTTCTTTTTTCCTTTTCCCCCCTCACCGGCGTCACAGCACAAAAGAGACGGATCGCTGTTGTGCAACCAGAAAAACAGTAAGCATGTTTGTTTTTCTCCAAAACCTGCATTAGAACCTGTCGTGCATCTGCCTTAAGGACGACACAAATAGATGTGTTTGCAGATAGTTTGCACAGAGCATGCTAGTGAAGACGACAGTGAAATAAATCTGTTATTTATTAAGTGTAAGATCCGTTGCCTGCTCCCAAAGAAGTTCCACTCCAGCTAGTGATCTGGTACTGATTCTTCCCCTGGGTCTACCTGCAGAACGTGCAAACGTACCCCCTGAAAGGAATGGCTCTGAGAGTGATACTATGGACTTCGAGTGGTACCTATGACAGCGGTGGCTTGGGCAAGCTGTGCATCAGGTTCATAACGTTCCTTTTTTATCTGGATAACCTGGAAGCGGAGAGACTAAATAAGCAGAGAGACTTAATTGGTTATGAAATCCAAATTTGAAATCTTAGCTCACAGATATGCACTGTTTATAGGTCATTGGTTCTTTATGCTGTGTGCACATCATTCGACTGGTTAAATTGTTAAGTCATTGGGCTTGTTAAAACTTAAATTCCGATGACTTGACAGTGTCTGTTTCAGGTGCACAAGGATAGGGCCCACGAATCCTAGGAGATGTTGATGCTGTGGATTGGGGTACCACACTCTGAGAGCACCTGCCATTGGTGACCCCACTAGGAAATCTCAGGTTCACTTGGAGCTTATATGGTTTTCAACTGTAGCTCTTATGCAGCCAGCATGAATGAATACCTGTGTGGAAGCCTTCTGTTGCCTTTTTCCTTCAAAATCTCCATTTAAAATTTTTTAAACTTTTTTTTTCTTTTTGAACTGTATGCTCCCCTGGAATAAGCCCAGTCACATTAAGAACTGACAGCGTATGGGTCTGCAAGATATTCTTGTGATTATAGCCATAGCCAAGATCATACCAAACAACAACCGAACCAAAACCATTTTCTGTCAACTCAGTTCTGACTTATGTATGTCAGAGTAATGCCATACATACACACATACATAGAATTTTTAGTGGTATTGGAATTAGACAAACCACCACAACAAAAACAAGCCTCCGGTTGGTTTCCATTCATAGCAACTGTCTAAGGAGAACTGCCCTCTTGAGGGCCCAAGGTTGTGAAGTTTTACGGGAACAGACAGCCTCACCTTTCTTCTGAAGAGCATCTGGTGGGTTTGAGCTATTGACTTCCCAGTGAGCAGTCCAGTGCACAACCACGGTGTCACCGGCACTCCTTGGAAATAGATAGGCAGACCTTTTCTCTGAGGTGCGGC